TTGATAAGATTAATATGGATTTGATATAATTTTGTATTAATCTCCTAAAAGTAATAGTAGTGACATCTTATACGGATGTATTGGTATTTGTTTGGTATTTTTGACATTTTGCATTGATTGGTTATTGTTATGCAAAAAATCATTAGTCAACAGTTGCATATGAGTTGATTCCATTCCGGTATAAGAATGGCTGCACCCCGCCCCTAATTTATCAACAAACCGTACAGATGCGTTTTTTTATTCCTAAAATTTAATGAAAATAAAAGTACTTCTTGATGTCATCCCACCATTTTTTTTTTTTTGTTTGTCTTCAAATCAGAATAAAATTAATTTGAACAAAATATCCCCTTTTTGTGTAATCAAAACCATTGATCTGTTAATTTTTTCGCCTAATTAATATTGCTTTGTCTGCTTTTGCATATACTGTTGGTTTAGTATTATTTTTGTCTTTTTTTTTCTTGCTTTTCTTACTGTTTATTTCAAACTTTGTCAATTCTCTTTCTTGGTCATTTCTTTTTACATTTTAATAAATATATTTTCAATTATTCTAAAATTGCATTTTTTTTTCATTGCTCTTTTACTTCAAAAATGTTAAACAACCTTTAAAATGCAAGTCAACTTATTTTCCAATTCTCAATTCAATAATAAATTATTCATTTTCTAATTTAAATAATATTAACTACTTGATAATGGTATAAAATCATTTTATGTAGTTTTCCCCAAAACTGACACATGACAATTTTTAAATTATACAGTGCTTTATATACAAGAATTATAATTTATATAATTTTTGTTAAATAAAAACGTTTAATACTTATCGATGTTCATAAAATATTTTTCGTAATATTTAAATCACTCATCATTTAAATTTTTTGATTTGATAAATGATGTCGAAAAAACTCGTCAATAATTTAAATACTGTTGATATTCGATTGCGTATTGAACATATTTATATATATATATATATATATATATATATATATATATAATTTTTATGTTTATTTATGTGTGTGTTAATGTAAACCATGTGTGTTTCAAAATGCAATCCAACCATTTTTTTTTAGTTCGTTGGCCCGAAATCATGAGCCGTTAACGCCCCTTTTTACATTTTATAATAACCTTTAAATTTATTCTCCTTCGTTCTTCTTCTTCTTCTTCTTTTTCTTCTTCTTCTTCTCGCTCCTCCTCCTCCTCCTCCTCCTTCTTCTTCTTCTTCTTCTTCTTCTTCTTTTTTCTTCTTCTTCTTCTTCTTCTTCTCCAATTCTTTGTTCCTTCTTCTTCTTCTTCTTCTTCTTCTTCTTCTTCTTCTTCTTCTTCTTCTTCTTCTTCTTCTTCTTATCCTCCTTTTCTTCTTCTTCTTCTTCTTTTCTTTATATATATTTTCGTATATAATCGTTTATTTTTTAAATAATATAACGTCCATTAGTTTTTTTTTTTTTTTTTTAATTTTTTTTTTTTAAATAAAGCAAACTTGTTAGTCAATTGATAAAAACACCGGAAGATACCATTTCCCCCATTTAGACCCTAAATTAAATCAACTATTTTCCTGATTTAAAAAAAATTAAAACTTGATTATATATATAAATATATATCTATATATATATATATATATATATATATATATATATATATAATGTGTGTGTGTGTGTGTGTGTGATTTTTTAATAATATAACGATAAAAACAGGAAGTAGAAAAACTGGGTGTAGACAAAGAACCACGATTAAAACACAATTTAATATTTAAAAAGGAAGAAAAGAAAAAAAGGGGGGGCGAATGGGAAAACCCAGAATAAACCCTTCCAGTGAGTTTAAAATGTCAAATATTTAATTTTAATTTTAATATTAAATTGTATTTTAAAAATCATCTTTAAATTTAAAATTCTAATCCTCTTTTAAACTCAAAAGTCATATGAAGTCGTATCAGGCGTAAACACAGTCTGATATAAGCCCCAAACACAAATATCGTCCCATTTATAAAACGTTTTCCATTAATATATATATATATATATATGTGGGGGGTGAAAATATATAGAAAATAGGAAAGAACTCTAGGTTATAAAATAATCCAAAGTTCTTTAGTATTTTTATTATTATTTTAAAAATAATATGCTCGATATAAAAATATATATAAATATAATTATTTATTTAAAAATATGATTCCAACACGCTACATAAGAGTTCTCATGTTTCAAAACAAGAGCCGAAAACTTCAATATAATTATTTGAATTAAATTGAATTAAAGTAAAGCTCTGTTCCATCTTCAAGCGAAATTTTTTTTTTTTAACTTATTTCTGAAATTTACGTGTTTTAATAGCATATTCATTATTGAAATCAAAATTTCCATGGTAACAGCCAGAGCGATTGTTTAAAATAAATAAGGGTGTAAGGGTGTTAATAATTTGTATCAATATAGAGTTACATTCATAGATGTCAAGTCAGGGTAAGGTTGGGGTGTCTAAATTTAAAACGGAAGATGATTTCGCCTAGTCTGGTTTACGTGTCTATGGAGATTTATTTATTTTTTTTTTTTTTTTTTTTTTTTCTGAAAGGGTTTTGTGTATATAAAAAAAAAAAAAAAAATAAATCGTAACATTTGTTTTTTTTTTGACTTCATAAAGGGTTATTTTTTTTTTTTGTAGGGTATTTTAAACTATTTATTTAGACTATGGATTTAAAAAATATTTTATTGTTTGTTTGTTTTTCAATTATTCAATGCAAAATTTGATGATGTCGGCAAAAACCGTTAACTCATGTCTATTGTTTAATAGATTTTTATTATTTAGAAACTTAATAATGTAGTAGTTTTTCATGTCGGTATAAAGGGCATGGTTCATCCCAAGTTTTACAAGTTCTAGTTTCGTTTATAATTTTTCAATTCAACAAAAAAATTTATTTTTTTAAAAAATGGAAAAAATATTTTTATAGATAATCTTTTTTTCAATTTAATTTAAAAAGGATTTATATTGTTTTTTTTTTTTTATTTTTTGAAACATGAGACCTCTTATGTAACGATTTGGAATCATATTTTAAATAAATAATTATATTTATGCTCTATATTTTTTTATCAATATACTATTTTAAAAAAAATATAACTAAAATACTATTTTTTAAATTATTTTTCCTAACCATTTCCTTCCTAAATTCTATATATTTTTCACAAATATATATATATATATATATATATATATATATATATATATATATATATATATATATATAGGACGTTTTTTCTAAATAGGCAAATAGGCAACATAAACATTAACAATATATATCATTTTGAAATATATTTTCTTCTTGTAAAATTTAAATCCCCTAAAAATTATTTAAAACAAATTAATTGATTTTATTTAATTAATTTTGAAAAGAATAAAATTTTTTTTTTTTTTTTTTTTTTTTTTCTTTTTTTTTTTTTTTATTTATTCATAAAGGTTAAAGCTGTTTTAAAAAGAAATTGTGTTTATATATATATATATATATATATATATATATATATATATATATATATATATGACCATGTTGATATATATCTATGAATATATAGTTAAATATTTTATACGTAATCTGTTCAATGAAACAACGTTAAATTAATATTCCCGAGTCAGATAATTTAATTTCTCTGATTATATCGCCAATACCATGAACAAATTGTTCCGTAATTCTTCCGTCTTTTCATCAAAGGCTGGCAATAAATATTCGAGAAAAAATGGCCGCTTTTATATAATTTCGCATTGAATATTTTGATTTTCTGATTGGTTAACCCTTCTATTTTGAACTATAAAATGACACATTTCATTTGGCATTTCTTTGAACACCATTACTTTAAAAATTTCCAACAATATATATATATATATATATATATATATATATATATATATATATATATATATATATATTTTGTTTAAAAAAATGGGGGATTTTAAATCATTGGTAAAAGAAATTTTTCCTTCAAAACAAGTTCACAAAAATTTCATATTTTGTCACATAAATTCTAAAGTCCTTCGTTTTTCAGTTATAAAAGTTAAATGTTTTATCTTGGTGGATCAGCTTTTTAAATAAATAATCTAAATATAAATCCAAAATAGTTTTATAAAAATTTTGTGGCGGGTTTTGACACCAAAACAAGTTAAAAAAACCTTATAAAAGTTTTGTCATGAGATTTTAAATTTTTGAACCTTAAAATGACAGCAACTCATAACACATTTTCAAAAATATCATCCGATATTTGTTACACAATTTTCTTACGCACCCGTCATTTTTATTCAATTTTTGGACCTTTTTTTTCCACCCATATATGGCGAATATTTCATGGTCTCCATGACACATTGCTGATTATTTTTTTTGTTAAATGCCTTTGTATAAAAAATATTTTATAGCCCCATAGATAAGAATCGAAAGGAAAAAAATTTTTATTTACGTGCTGAACCAATTGGAACAAAAAAAAAAAAACCTAACCATCTTTCATGAAAAAGGTCAACCAGTGCAGCGCGATTATTAATGCGACAACTACTGTAAGAGGCGCTCAAGATTGCCGCATCTACACCACAGATTATAAGTCCTTAGCAAGACTTAAAAAAAGACAGATTCACTCCCTATATTTGAGGATAAATATTTTAAGATAAATCAAACGATAGCATTACTCGAAATCGTTAATTATCGTCATCATCGTAAAAAACTGTAATTTGTCTGAGGATGATTTTAACAAAAAAATCTGGTTTGGATTAAGAAAATTAAAAAGATTCATCTTTAAAAAATTTTCACTTTTTTTTTTTTTCAGATAAAAAATGGATTAAATGCAGAAGATCAATTCTTTCTTTAAATGGTGTTCAGTTTTAATTAGAACAGAACGCCAACGCCAAGAAAGAAAAACTAAAAAACAAACCATCATATTTTTGTCAGAAATAAATTATTGGTGATGCGTATTTATCCTCCCAATAAAACGACAATTTCATTCCTTTTTTAATTTTCAGCCAATCAAAAATTTATCCAATGATACCGTGTAATGTCTTCTCACGGTGCGACCTTTTGAGCGCGAAGTTTTTTTTGTGGGGTTTTGTTATTTTTTTTTTTTTTTTCGAAAAGAAAAGGAAAGAAAACTATCGTTAAGTGTAATTTACCGCGATATGAGATATAGAATCAATCACGCTTCCATTTTTTATTCTGTCCAATACATATAACTTCTATTTTATACGTTTATCATCCTTTCTTTCCATATTAAATCTTTCTCACACTTTCTCCCCCTCCCTGTCACTGTCCGTTTCTTCTCTTCTTTGGTTTTCCCTCTCTTTCTACTCACAGCACGTGTTTTTCTCGCTTATCACGTCCTTCCTTTCTTTATTCTCATTTAATGCTTCTCTTTCCTTTCTCGTTTTCCTTCTTTCTAGTTATTCTCTCTTTTCGTCTCTCTTTCTCTCTCTCTCTCTCTCCCCTCTCTTTATTCTCCTTTTTCGCTTTTTTCTCATTCCCTTTCTATTTTATATCTTTCTCCTCTTCGTCTTCAGTCTGTTCATATCTATCTATCTATCTATCTATCTATCTATCTATCTATCTATCTATCTATCGCAGTCTGTTCATATCTATGTATTTATCTATCAGTTTGTTCATATCTGTCTATCTATTTCGGATCTATCAGTCTGTCTGTGTCTTTTTTAATTTCATATCAAACTTTCTATCTCTCTCTCTCTCTCTCTCTTTAAATATATATATATATATATATATATATATATATTTTGTAATTATTTATTTAAAATTATAACATCAATATGTTTTTAAAATCACTAAAAAATAGCCATTGCTTATTATTAAAATAAATTCTATTTTATTATAACCCAAACTTTAAAGCATTTAATAGTTATTAAAACCTTTGTTCGTTATTCAAGTTTTTGAATTCTCGTATACTTGTATTTTTTTGGTCATTTTAGCTCATGTAATTGTTTCCCCTTACATAGGGAATTTCTGTTAATTAATTTGAACATTTTTTTAACCTTTATTCTACATTCAACATTTCAAATGATAAGACACCAAAATTGAAACAAAATATTTATTCATGTAGTGATTTTATAAGATATTTATGTTAAATTTTCTGATAAATAATTATATTTGCTCTGGTCTTTATTGAGCAATTTTTAAGAATAATAATTTTGAATTTTTGATTTACTTCCAATATACACCAATCCTCTTTTTCAAACGTTATATATAATATATATATATATATATATATATATAAATATATATATATATATTAAGATATATATATATATATATATATATATATAAATAAAAATTTATATTATATAAACATCATGTTATAAAATCACTACAAAAATATTATTTTTTTCAACACTTCTGATCTCCAACTCTCTCAATTGTTGATGTTGAATGTTAAAATTTAAAATGTCCCATTCTACATTCAGAACAATATCACATCATAAGACATTCTTCCATACCTAAATAAATTCTTTTATAGGAGCTTTTTTTATTCCTTTTTTTATTTTATTAATAATTTTCGAATAAATTTTATTTCTTGACTCTTAATTTTTAGTTTTTTTTGTAATATTTTTTTAAAAGTTCTCTTTATTCCACCATACACAATTCTATTATTTACACACATGACAGACAAAGACTAAATACCAACATATTCTAAATGTATTTTGAAAATAGAAAAATATATATATATATATATATATATATATATATGTCTTGTTATTAATATCTATCATTAATGAATATATCTCTCTATTTTCATGATTCATATTCTTTTCCATTATCTCTGTCCTTCTCTAGTTCTCTCATTTCTCTTTATCTTCTCTCTCACAAAATCTTTATCCTGTCTCTCTCTCTCTCTCTCTCTCCTCTCTCTCTCTCCCCTCTCTCTTTTCTCTCCTCTCTCTCTTTTCCTTCTATAGCCTCTCTTCTCTCTCTATCCATCTCTCTACTCTCTCCTCCCTCTCTCTCTCTCCCTCTCCTCTCTCTTTCCCTTGTCTCCCTGACCTTATCTGATTCCCTCTCTCTTTTTTCTTTCTCTCTCTCTCTAGTCTGTTCCCCTCTTTTCTCTAACAAATTTTTCTGTTTTATAACATTATTTTCTTTCCCCTCTTTTTTTCACTGTTATTACTTTCATTTTTTTTTTGATTCCCGACTTCTTTTTTTTCTTCTTCATTTTCTCTCATTCTTTATTTTCTTTTGCCATTATTTTCTATAGAAAATGTTTTTTTTTTTTTTCTTTTCCTATTTTTTTTTTAATTTTTTTCCTTTTCATTTTCCTCTTTCTACCTTTCTTATTCTTTCTTTCTTTTTCTTGCTTTATTTTTTCTTTCTTGTCAGTCATTCTTTCTCTCTTTCGCTAGTTCTTTCTTTTTTTTCTTTCTGTTTTATTTGTTCCTCTTTCTTTCTTTCTTTCTTTCTTTCTTTTTTTTCTTTCTTTCTTTCTTTCTTTCTTTCCCGCCAGTATTTGCCTTTTATCAATCTTTCTTTATATCTTTCTCAGTTCTTTCTTTCTTTATTTCCTCCTTTCTTTCTTTCCGCTATGCATTTCTGTTTGTCTTTCATTCTTTCTTTCTTTCTTTCTTTCTTTCTTTCTTTCTTTCTTTCTTTCTTTCATTCTTTCGTTCGTTCGTTCTCCTATGCATTTCTGCTTTTCTTTCATTCTTTCTTTTTCCTATGCATTTCCGTTTGTCTTTCGTACTTTCTCCTATGCATTTCTTTCTTTCTTTCTTTCTTTCTTTCTTTCTTTTCCCTTATGCATTTCTCTGTCTGTTTTCTTGTCCCTTTAATTATTCTTGGTTCTTTTTTTTCCATCGCCTTAATCGTTTCGTATTGATATCTCATTTACTTTGGAAACCGTCTGAGCGTATTAACGTTTTCCGTCAAAATCTGTCAGGCGAAATAGTATTTGAAAACTAATTTAATCCCCACCTCCACTCTTTTCTATCCTCTCTCTCTCTCTCTCTCTCTCTCTCTCTCTCTCCTCCCCCTCTCACTTCTCTTCGTCCACTCTGACCCTTCTCTGTCTCTCACTCTCTCAGTCAAATTAACTCTCTATATATTGATCTGACTCTCTCTTTCTATATTACTATTTTTTCTCTTCACAAATTATTTATGGATTTCACTTTCATTACCGCTTATTTCTCTCTTTTGTCCTCGTCTTTCAAGCGCGTTCTTTCCTTCTGGTCACATGGCCTTGTGGATAAAAACGTCGGTTGGTTGATCCAAAGTGACTTCACCCAAAGAGTTGTGAGTTCAATACCTGGTCACCGCAGAGACAATATAAACTATCTATCTCTGCTCGTATCTGTCTATATATACAAGGCCCAGTGGATGAAAACGTCGGTTGATTAGTTGGTTGGTCCGTTCAAAAGTGACTTCACCCAAAGAGTTGTGAGTTCAATTCCTGGCCACCGCAGAAAGAAAAGAAAAACCTCGGAGAGTTAAGTTATTAACGAGGAATTAACTAAAAACTGAGGTATCCAATCGCATAGCACGTGGAATTACGCAGAGCAATCTACCCACGTGTACGAATCCTCTTGTCAAGAGCTTGAGCTTCAAGTTCAAAGAAGAAAAAAAAAAACAAAACGAGTAAAAGACTAAACGGAAAGTGCCCAATACACAAAGTAGAGCAAAAACTAAACCTATCTGAGTTTCACCTCAACGGATCTTCAGGGTAAAACTGGCTGGTTTTACCCTGAAGATCCGTTGAGGTGAAACCTAGGTAAGTTTGTCTGGCTCCTTAGTATTATTTTACACTCACACACACACACACACACACACACACACACACATATATATATAGACAGGGTGCGATGGGTAAATTATTCTCAAATTATATTTTTAATTTCTCGCATGCGTGTTATCTCTTTTTGATTTTGTCTACTGTACAGTATAGTATGGTCAGTTGAGCACCGTCTGTGAGAAAGAAAGCACGCCGCCTAGTTTTAAGTATAGCTAAAGTAACTAATGTGATTTCAGGCATTACTGTAAATCAGTTGACAAATGTTTTCCGTGAACTGCAAAATCGTATTACCCTTTGTATTGCTAATGATGGAGGACATGTGGAAACTTAAATAAAATTTCAATAAAATCTTATAATGGGTCCGGTTCTAAATTCCTTATATCACCTGAAGAAGGCCAGAGCGTTCAACGGCCGAAACGTCGGGAATATGTCAATATTTTTCCCCTTTTTTGTTACTTTTTTATTTTCTTTCTGTTTGCTTCTTTTAACTTCTCTTGTGTTTTTCTCTTTTCATAGTCTTTTTTTCTTCTCTCTCTCTCTCTCTCTCTCTCTCTCTCTCTCTCTCTCTCTCTCTCTCTTTCTCTGCTACTTTCTTTATTCTATCATTTTGCAATTTTCTCTTCCGGTGTCCATGACTTTATACTATTCTTTTGTTTCTTCTCTTTTTTTTTGCTTCTTTTTTTTTCCTCTTCTTCTCTCATCTCTCTCTCTAAGCTCTCTATCATCTCTCTCTCATTTCACCCTCTCTTTTCCTTTCACATTCTCTTTTTGCGTTTTTTAGACCCTTCTTTCTCTATCTTTTCTTTTCTCTTTCTCTACCTTTTTCTTCGGCAGGCCTTATGTCTTTCCCTTTTTTCCTCCCTTTTCAGTCTTATCTTTTTCTCTGTCTTTCTTCACTTCTTTCTCTTTGAACTCATTCAATTTTTCTCTCTCTTCGTGTCTCTCTCGCTTTTAATTTTCTTTTACTTCTTCTCTTTCCTTTCACATTGTCTTCCTTCTTTCTTCTCGTGTCTCTCCCTTCATTTTATTTCTTTCTCTTCCCTCTCTCTTTTCGAATATTTTTCTTTATTCTTGCTCTCAGTTTCTTTCTTTTTCCTTTCCTATTATATTTATTTCCCTTTCTCTCTTTTCTTGTCTTTCGCTTTATTCTCTCTTTCAGTTTATTTTTCTTTCTTTCTTTTTCATTTTCTTATGTTATCTTTCTTCTCTTCTGTAATAACTTTCTCTTAGTTCTCTCTTAAAACATTTCTCTTTTCTTCTTATTTATTGAAAGTATTTCTTCTCACTTTTCGTGCCTTTTAGGGAAAATGGAATAAATGGAAACGAATTTCTTGCCTTTTTAAATCATTTAAATCTCACCTCTTCTAAATATTTCATTTTCTTTCTTTTTTTTCTTCTATCTTTATTATTTCTTGTCTTTCCTTGTTTTTTTCGCTTCTGTCTTATTTTCTCTTTCTTTTCCCCCCTCTTTTCTTCATTCTTTTTTATCTTTTTTTTTTAATTCTTTCTTTATTCCTTCTTTCCGCTTCTTTATTCTTTATTTTCTTTCTTTCTTTTCTCTGTTTCTTTTTTCATCTCACTTCTTCCTTTTTTTCTTTCTTATCTTTTTTTTAAAAATTCTTTCTTTACTCTTTTTGATTGTCATTCTTCTTTCTTTCTTTCCTTCTTTCTTTCTTTCTTTCTTTCTTCTTTTTTTAATTTTCCTTCCATTCTTTTTTATTTCCAATCTCTGCTGTTTACCTAACATAAGAACATAAAATTACCTTATCTACTAATCTAATAAAAAAGCGTAACCATAATAAAAATTAAATTTAAAACCGCCCAAAAAATTAAGACAGTTTTTCTCTCTTTCTTCTTCTTTTCCTTCTCTTCTTTGTTTATCTTTCTTTTTGAAATTTTCATTTTTTCATTTTTTCTTTTTTTCCTTGTTTTTTGTTCGCCTTAAATATTTTTGTCAATGTTTTTTACTTTCCATTTCAAAAAAAATATTTTCCCATAATTCATATATCTGCCACATATCTACTAAATATCACATATCGACCATATATCTATATACAGTGTATCCATAAAGTTCATTCACTTTAAAAAATTATAAAAATTATTTGTATTTCTTAGAAATCATTTGTAAAATTTTTTTTTTAAGTAAATCTATATTTTTTTTTTTTTCTTTTTATTTTTTTTTTTATTTAAGTTTCCACATGTCCTCCAATTATATTTTCAATATAAAGGGTAATAAAATTCTTTTGCAGTTCACTCATTTGTTTTTCTGATTTACAGTAATGCCTATTCTTCACATTATAAATTTATTTTTATTTTATTTAAAACTAAAATTTTTTTAAACTTCTTTTTTTATTTTTTCTTAATTTTTGACCATATTTTTCAATGTAAGTAAAACAAAATCAAAATTTGATCATAACACGCATTCTTTGAGAAATTAAAAAATATAATTTGAGAATCCAAAGAAATCGCATTATTATATATATATATGTTGTGTGTGTGTGTGTGTGTGTGTGTGTGTGTGTGTGTGTGTGTGTGTGTGTCCTGTTTGTAAAAAATTACTAATTTTTTAGACAAACTTTTTTTTTTCAAGTCAAAAATCTCTTCAAAATTTAAAACCAGCCAGTTTTATTTTGAAGAAAAAAAATTTTTAATGAAGACATCAGAATTTAAAATTGCTCTAAAACTTGTTTATTTTTTTGATTTTTTAGTAAAAAACAATTTTGTTTTTTTTTCTTCTTTTTCCTATTAATTTTCAAGCTCTTGAAAAGAAGAAAATTTAAATTCATTTAATGTTCTTGGTTTCATTTCATTTCTAACCAATTTTCATATATATATATATATATATATATATATATATATATATATATATATAATAAACAAATTTATATATATATATTTATATATATATATATATATATATATATTATATATATATAAAATTTTTTTTTTTTTATTCTTAACGTTATATTTATTTCTCTGTTTTTTTTTTTGGAATCTCCATGGAAAGATGTATCGTAGAGCAGGAAAAAATTTTTTTTTTTTAAATTTTAAAATTTTATATGAGTTTTTTTTATTTTTTGTTTTTTTATTATTTAATATTGTTTTAATATGTCTTGTAATAAAATTTTATACTTTTATTTATTTGTCATTAAATTTTGTTTAAGCATTAAAATTATCTTTAAATATATATATATATATATATATATATATATATATATATATATATATATATATATATATATAAAAAAAAAAAAACTCAAACACTAATATTATATGGTCAAAATTTTTTCCATTGGAATCGAAATACGATTTTTCATCAGACCTACAAATTCAAAATAAAAATAGAAAAAAAATTTGTCCCGGAAATAAAATATTCAATTCAGAGATAATGTACATTCCTATTTTTGTGGGACGAATTATAGAAGTTAAAGAAATGGGTAACAGATTCATAAATATTGGAAATTTTAAAAATCTTAACAGAGGAAATTTTTAACTAATATATTGGAATTTTATATTAATGTTTTTATTGTCTAAAACAAAAAATATATATTTTGTTTATGACCAAACACACCATAAACGATCTAATTTTAAAATTTCAGAATAAAATCAAAAAATATACATGTATGTATATGCATGGTATGTATATATATTTTTTATATTTTTTATATATGTATTATCTTTTTTTTAAATATTATTATATTATATATATATATATATATATATATATATATATATATATATATTTATATTCTATATATTCATATAATTTTTTATTTAATGGATAAAATTTGTTTAGTTTTTTTCTTTTTCGAATTACAGTCATTTCCATTACATTCACTTAAAAAAAAATACCCTTTTTAAGGTATGAATCTTCTTCTTCTCCTCAGCTAAAATACAGACTGAATGGTTATTTTTGGATGGCAACTGGTTTAGAGAAGGACAACTTTAATTCAAAACCTGAAATGGAGGTTCGTTTGGGAACATTGTTTCATAGTGCATTAGGTCTCTAATTCGGCCCTTCAAAAAATAATGGATGGTCCTGCAAAATTTTCATATCCCTATTATTTGAAATTTTTTTATGTGATGTTGTCGGGCTTGAAAAATTTTTCCTGGGAACTGATCTGCTTGACCCTCATACGTCGAAATTCGACGAAAATCTAAAAAATATATATATATATATATATATATATATATATATATATATATATATATATATATATATTATTTTGTTGCATTAACCTAATATGTTTTGATTAAATCAATTTATAAACTGTTTTTAACTACAAGCAAATAAGGTTTTTTTTCATTTATTTTATATACATTCAACTGTAATACAGTCATCCTCAGGCATGGAAATTATTTTGTTTTATTTTATTATTCATACCATTAGTATCGAGAAAAAGATTTAATGCGAATCGAAATATTTTTTTTTTAATATGTTATTGTTAACGGATAAAAATTTTGGATATGCAGTCGTAACGCTTTTTGTTGAATTTCCCAATTTTTTTTTTTTTTTTGAAAATTTAAGTGAGTGCGTTTTTTTACTAATAAGGTAATCTAAGAAATTTTGTTGTAGGATTATTTCATCAAATAAATTTGTTTTAAATAATTCAATAAATAAAAACTAATGTCTCAAAATGTTATCCTGAAAATTTTTCATTCAATTGTTTTAAATTAAAAAAGATGGTATCATTTCAAATCTGTAAAATGATTCATTTAAATAAAATTTCTTTAAAAAAACTAAAAATCTGATTTTTTTTATATGTATATATATATATATATATATATATATATATATATATATATATATAATATTATGTTTAAAAAAATTTTTTTTTTTTAGCTTCTCCCCTTTTTTTTTCATTTCCGTTAAAAGTTTGACTGTTAAATAAAAAAAGAATCTTTTCAATATCCTCCTTAATTTATATAAAGTATATTTGAAATATATATGAAATTAATCCCTCCTTTATACTCTATAATGTCTCTTTAAATATCCCTTTTAACTCTCTGTTAAATTAAAAAACTTACACTATATATCAATTTTAATTTCATTTTTATTTCATTTTCATATTTTTTGGAAGTGCTATCTGATGATCCGGCGTCCTTTAAAATGGCTCTGGGGAAATAAATTATTATAATGGTAATATTTAAAAATATTTTTTTTTTTATAAAAAATTTTCATATATATATATATATATATATATATTGATTTTATATTACATGATATTAAAGGAAATAAACTTTTCATAAACTTTTTAATATCCATACAACTTAATATATATATATATATGTGTATGTGTAAATATTTCAGAAGTTATCTGTAAAATGTAATATGAATAAAAATATCACAAAAAAAATCTTAAAATCTATTTATTTCTAAATGTGAGAGATTTATCAAACATTTTTCATTCATTAAGATAAATATTTATATAAAGAAAAATACATAATATACCATAAAAATTTGCAAAAATCAAAACATTTTTTGCTTATGTTTTATTATTTATATGTATATGTATATAATGTAATGGATATATATCTATATATATAAATATATATATATATATATATTTATAACATATAACGTCATTTGTTTACATACACATACACATTACACACAAAGTACATATATATATATATATATATATATATATATATATATTTATATATATATATATATATTTATTAAAATTAATTAACGTTCTAACCTGCATCCTATATTTGAAAATATTCGTTCTTTGAAAGAATTTTTTGAAAAATTTCTCGGACATTCAGGCCGGTAAATGTTATTTAATACTGTTTATCATAAACAGAGCATTTGCTTAAATACTTGTATCTATAAAATAACAACGTTAAACATAAAAAAAATGTCTTTAATAAATAAATTGTCGGACCTTGTCCATTTCTTAATATATGACGTCATTTGTTTACATTCGATACGCCAGAGCAGTTATGAATGTACGAGATTCATGGAAGATTGAAGTTTATAAGCAGTAAATTCGACCTTGTCTACCGAAAAGGTTCTTTGTAGCCCAGAGGTAAGGCACGTCAGCGTAAATGACGGTTCCGTATAGGATGCAGGTTCGAATCCTGTCAAAGAACGAATATTTTCTATGAAAATTTGTCGGACATTCAGGCCGGTAAATGTTATTTAATACTGTTTATCATAAACAGAGCATTTGCTTAAATACTTGTATCTCTAAAAAAGAACGTTAAACATAAAAAATGTCTTT